TGCCGGCGCCCTCGCCGCCGGGCCCGGAGCGGCGGGGCACACCCGCGGGGCTGGGCTGCCCGCTGTGGCCGGAGCGGGTCCTGTCCCCCAGCCCGAAGGCAGACCCAGGACTGGGGGGCAGTGACACGGTAGCCGGGAGGCCTGTTGTCTTTAGGGCACCTTTTAATGGGGAGAGTACCCTTACTGCCTTTGGAATAGCACTGAGCAGCACAGAGGCTGCTCTGAAAGGTGAATGATGAGAAAACCTGGACATTTATTTATTTATTTAACCATTAATTTATTGAGTGGTTTTCCCAGTAAATCGCCTTATTTTAATAAAGAACCTCTGGGGTTTTTTCAGCTTGTGGATTGTCTACCCCGTAGTCTGAAATCAAGACTGTATCTTCCATCGATGCTTAAGAATGCAGTCAGCAGTAGCAGCATGCACGGTAGGGTAAGTCTGAGGTGATCTTGGCTAGCAGAATTCATCCATTCAACCAGCTAGCCAGCCCTCAGCCCAGCCAGCCTGACTGAGCACTTAAAATTCCTTCTAAGTGAGAAGAGAACAGGGTTTTGCTACAGGGTTTTGCAGTAAGCTCATTATAATAAGGAATATAGAAGATATAAGACTTTATGAAAGGATTCACCTATGTTTTGTGTAATCTGTTTTACCATTAGCGACATCGAGTCTGCAGCTGTTAATCTTAATAAACTGTCCTACTTTGCTTTCTAACCCTCTCAGCGCTTTCTCTGACCTTCCTTATTCTCTTCTACAAGTTATAGGATTTTATTTGTCCAGTAATTGAAACTCACATGATTTATCCATAGGATAAACTTTTATAATACAGATGTTCAGACTGCTTTTAGTCAAGCAACAGTAGAGTAACTGAAAAAGGGTAGTGTTGAAACCAGTCATAAGAATGTTTATAGACAGTCAGATGTTTCTTCTGCAGGATGATGCAGACATCCATATGGCTAAGTTTCAAGCTATAGTTACTTTAAAGAAAAGGTTATAGAACAAGTAGGCACAAAACAGCTGATTGCGCTGTTCTGTGAAATGTGCTGTGTCACATCATATAATAGTGAGCTTCAACATTTTTCCTTTTCTGAAATAGGGTGTTTTCAGCTTTAAAGTTCTTAGACCTCTTTTGATTGTCACTCTTAATTTTAAGGACACCATTGCAATAGTATTCAGAAACACAAAGTCGTACTTCCCAAGTGTGTTTATGCCAAAATGTAATCAGTCACCATCATTATGGAGGGAGACATCCACAAAATAGCTGAGGCATAGCCACAGTGGCCATTGGATGTTCTCATTAGCAATGAGACCTTAAGGAGATATCTCAGAATCTACATAGTTGAATGCTAAAAGCTTGTTCAAATGTGTTTATAAGCAAGGACATAGGGTTTGAAGTTAGAGACTGATCAAAATCAGTTTCTGTCTCAGCAGATCTCACTTCTGTAGAGAGTTTGAAATTTTGAGCTTTATACAACTACTGAAGTCTTCACCACATTTTTTTGGCTTTATGTTTCATTTTGTTGCAAAATCTGTTTATGTCAGGTTTGGTAAATGCTCTTTCTAATAAGGTAGCAGCTCACCCACTGTGGTGTGTGCATCTTTCATTACCCTGGTACTGTATGGGTAAATTTTTATAGTGTGTATTTTTTTCAACCTGAATTAGCCAGTCACCAGAACCTTGCACTTCTACTAGGCAGTAAACTGAAAGGGAGAAAGGGAGTCACATTTAATCAAACATGAGAAGTTAAAAAAAAATAGAAAAGCATAATGACCATAAACAATTTTCTCAAATGGCATCTTAGTGTTGTTTGGAAGCCTTTGGATTTTACTTGGTAAGAGTCTTATTGATTTTTAAATGAGTTTAAGGGTGTTTTTTACATTTTGCATTTTCCTTAGAGTAAGAACATTGCCTTATTTTATTACATGGAATGACAGCTACACTTTTAGATTAGAAATGTACTTTTACTAGTTCTATGTTGGTTGTCAGCTGAAATCTTGTTTTTGAAAATAAGCAAGACAACCAAACATAATTATGTTCCTTGATTCAGTACATACAAAGTTATTCTTTGTAGTCTTAAACCATCCACTACATGGCAATCTCTTTATATAACGCATTCTGTCAGCCTCTCTCTTCACATTTGCAGCTGAGTTTTTGTATTGATTTTTAGGGCAATTTGTTTGAACACAGAATATTTTAATCAGCAAGATATGAAATACTTCCTTCCTGTGGCCTAACATGTTTAGGCTAACCTAAGACACTGATCAGTGATGGTTGGTATGGCAGAAAGGAGATCACCCATTTGTAGACCTATTTAAACTCTACGAAACATTTTCAAATTGAGATTATAAAATGAAAAAAGACAAATATGCATGTAAGTATTTCTAACAGTTTTGTCAGAAGCAGCAGTCTACAAACAAATTGCCCTAAAAATCAATACAAAAGCTCAACCTATTGAGATCTATATGAAGTATTGGACAATCTCTTAAACAGACAGAAGAAAAGCTTTTGAGTCTGAACTGTTATGCTGGTTTTTCAGTTACAAGAAAATAACATAAAAATTCTGCCTTGCTTCCACCCCTTCTGTGCTGGGCCTATGTATTTATATGTCAAATAGCACAAGTAAGTCCAGGGTGACTGGTTGTATGTGGCCCTGCTTGAGCAGAGGGTTCGTCAAGACAACCTTCAGAGGTCCCTTCCCATCCCAACCATTCCATGATGCTGTAATACTGTAAGCAGTGGGGGACAATGGAGCATAAAGCAGGTGAGCAGTTTTAGTGAGAAAGAGAAAATCCTTAATATTCAGGACTGACTTGGCTTGCTTTCAGTTGTAGCATGCAAGAAAATGAGACAATATATCTGCATTATTTTCTCCTTGAACCAGAGGAGATTATTCAATCTCAGTTAAAATGGTAAATTATTGTCTCAGTTAAAAATTTCCCAACATGGAGGCACCTTAGGTAAATTGCCCCTTTACATTTCTCAATGAAATTCCTTCCTGTGAAAACAAAATCTGTCCAGCATTTATGCCCTTTTTTGGCCACTTTGGATAATCTTGTCTTAACCCAGGTCTGCCATTGACAACTGTTCTAACTATACCCCATAATAACTAAGTGAATTAATTCTTCTTTGTGTAGATAAAAGACTGAAAGGATTCAAAGTAGCCATGAGTTGCTCCCAAATTCCTAACAAAAGCCTCCTTAAACGGTAAGAAAAAAATGCAGTTATGAAATAGAGGAGGTATTGGCTTCCTGATTTATGGAAAACAGTCTATGCTTCTGAGGATGGGAAAGAAGATATTTTACTTCTCAATGTTTTCTTTAAAATCAGTTTGGATTCTGTGTTGTCATATATAATCACAGATGCACTTTTTGTCACAATCTCTTTGTGAATGATTTTTGTTGCTAAAATGTAGCAAATTCAAACTACAGGCTCAGAATAGCAAAGCTATACACAGTGTGACATTTGGAAACACCAAAATGAATCACCAAGCCGATCAGCACATTGGTGTTTTAGTTCACATTATGAGTGTGGTTCTAAAATGAATCTCCCAATTGCCCCCACTTACCACATTTTGGATTGCAAATTGGGCCAGCCTTTGAGTGTGTGAGCTGTTTTACTTGTGGATGAAACTGAGCTGAGAGATGTGTTTCAGGAGCAGAGTTGGTTTTCCAACTTCTAAAGGGCATGCAGTCCACAGGAACAGAGTAAAACTAGCGCTAAATAAATACCCCTTAAAATAGATACAGAGCAGGCAAGGAGAGCTCAGTATCAACCATTTCACCTTTCAGATAGGCTCCTTTTGCCCTGAATTGCTTGCTAATGTGAAATATTCAATATTTCTTCCAACAGTGCTATAAACTGAAACAAGAAATACTGAAATATACTACATTCTTTTGTGATGAAACACCTACTGAGAGGCATAATATGTACCTCCCTGTGTGATATCAGGATAATGGAACATTTTGGTCCCTTAGAATAACCTCTATTCTCTTATTATCCATTTTTTGGTCATTTGCAGACGTGTCTCCTCTAAGTGCAGGAGGACTCTGAGTCTAGACTCTTCCAATAAAGGCTTTCCTGAACATGACAGAGTTAGAACACATCTTCCCAAAAACTTTCCTTGAAAATTGAGTTGTGCTTCCCTTCTGCAAGGCAATCTGGGAGACAATACTTAAATATGAGAAGAAAGTAGTTTAAACGAGGAACGAAGAAAAATCTGATACTTTGTGTCTGCAGTTTCTCATAATTAGTCTCGGATTTACTAGTTGCAACTTGGATTTACACGATACCACACAATTTCAATGAGATTAGAGACTTCTCTTCTACAGGGCACTTGCTATTATTTTTTCTTCTCTTTTTTTTTTCATTCTTCCTGTTTGATTAGTCTCACTGAAAAGGAATGAATTTAGAAAAGTATTTTTTTGTGTGATACAGGAATTGACAAGGTTGTCTACTGTGCTCGGTTTTCTTATTTTATCCAGAATAGTGGTCACTGAAATGGGGGCAGACTGTGCACTCATGGGGTACACAATACGACTCACTGGGATGCAGGAAGAAAATATTTTTGCACCATTAATTAAAAAAAAAATTAAAGAAACATTTTTATTTCATCTTTATCTCATCCTTTTTAATTTCTATTTTTGTAAGTTTTACAGTTTACAAAATGCATTAGTACAGTAGTTCATGTATGCATTTTATAAATAAATAAATAACGGTATATTGGGGGCACATGCTTAAAAATCTTTTAATGATAGGGGATTGCTATAAAAAAAAAGTTTGGAGAAACCTCAGCTACTGTCAGCTGTCATCTCTGGAGCAAATGACAGTTGCAAAAATACTAGCCGAAATTCCAATTTTTAGGCGGAGACATATTTGCAACTTAAAGGTTTCAAGAACCCATGATTTTACTATTGCAAGAATAAGGGCAATTCCTAAGTGAATTTCTTTGTAAGTAATATGATTTTTGGTTGGTTGGTTTGTTTTGTGTTGGATTTTTTTGGCGGGGTTGTTTTTTTTTGTTTTATTTTGTTTGGGGTTTTCTATCATTCACACATTGGTGAGTTGGAAGAAAGCTGTTGAACAGGAATATTTGAAAAAATTTTCTCTCTTCCAAGTCACCCGGTAGGAATTTTGTAATTACTACTCTCTGGCTCAAGTAACTTACGTTAAACAAAATAAAACAAAACAAAACCTACATACAAACAAAAACCCAACCAACCAACCAAACCAACAAGAGAATTGATAAATTATCAGTTTTCAAAGAAACAACCATAAGAGTACATGAAACTCATGGTAAAGCTTTCCCCAAGATTATACTCTGAATCTTCAATAATTGGTTAAGTTGAAGACAACCATGAAAGTTAAACCATGGGAATATGTATAATTTAAAATTATAAATGAAATGGCAGAAGCTAAAATAAGCTTTAAAATAGGTAACTTACTGCTTAAAAAATTCTATCATTTAGTACACAATAAAAACCTATTTAAAAATTGTTAGCTGCATTTTTTCTGAAGAATAACTCCCAGCTAGTTTTCACACAATGGGCATGTTGTGTAGAAGTAAAAACCTCTTCTACAGAGATCAGGCTGATCCAAAGCACTAATAGTACAGTGAGAAAGCGATACTAAATTTGAGTACTACATAACATTATGTGGTCCACGTTTGAGATAGAAGATTCAGATTTTTATACCACAGTTAAGGGTGACCCTTTAAACCTGATAAGCACAATATAATCAGCAATTGGTTTAATAAATTAAGATCTATTGCAAAATCAAATGTTTTCATTTGATGTAATTTCAACACTGTTTTCAGCAGAATGTTTTGTTAGAAAATGCATTAAAGAAATAAAACTATCTCATATGTATTTTAAAGTAATAAATTACAAATGTCATTACAAAATAATGGTAAATATTTTAACAGAACAAATAAAAGTAAAAGATTTAAAGAATTATTAAGAATGGTTCAAAATGCTGATATTTTTTAAAATCTGAAGGTAATCCTTTGGATGGAAATATGCTCCTCTGTGATCCATACTTACACAAAAAAAATATTGTGACTTCTTCAAATGTCTAAAATATCTGGCCTTTCCCTTTTGTATCCTAAACTATATTTCACATTTTTTAAATCTTCTTAAAATCAAATGCTACATTTATGCATAAACATGCATATTCAGAATTTTGGAATTAGGTATTCATAATAGCACTGCTTTATGTTGTGTAATGAAGACTACAAACAAGCCAACTCTGAGGTTTCTAACTTAATCTTTTTTGAACTGTGCCCATTCAAATATGAATACTCATATAAGTCAGAGCATTTATTAAAAGAGTCCTTGCAGAGATTTTACTCTATACTAGGGGAAAAAAAAGCGGGTGGTGAAAAAGAGTCCTCCCCATAGGATGCCAGCTGAAGAAAACATTAATCCAAAATGAAAGCATCTGATAAAACTGCAAGGCTCCAAAGTGAAAGAATGAAATGTAAATTGTAGTGTGGATTTTTTTGATAAAATCAAGTGCTCATTCCTGTGCCTGTAGATAGCCAACAGAAGCTGATGATGAACTGCAGGAACTTCCTGCTCCTCTGAGTAAGACAGTTCTCTGCCTCGCTCCTGTTGCTCTTCTGAAAGAGAACTTCCCCTTTTGAGTCATGGAGGGAATTTCTTCTTTATCATTTTCAAATTCTTTCTTTATCATCTTAAGCTACTTAAATACAAATATGATAAACAAAGCATTTATTTGCCTATTGGTCTGCCATGTGGAAACACAAAATATCTGGAAAGAAGGCAGATAACTATTGTGTTAATAAACTGTAGTCCCATGATAGATGCCTAGAGATAGATTGAGACCTCAGTACAATATGCATATACAGTAGACTGTATAGTCATGTTCTGGTGACATCAACTATTAGCTGATACATCTGCACTTACCTCTGAGCCATCCCATTGCAGCTTTCACTTTTTCCTATAACTGTGTTTAGGGTAAATATATGGAAATGACCAATGGGTGTCCCACCTGAAAAACGTATTTAAAAATAATGTGACATATGTAGGGACTGTAGGAACTTGTTCTTCATTGTACCTTAAGAGAAGGTATAATTAGTTATGCTTGCATGTTTTCCTGCAGCTCATTAAATATTTTCATTGTTATTGATAAAAGAAATTACCTTCTTATTAAGACAAAAAACCAGTTTTTCGAATATGATTGTATGGAATCTTAAATGATTAATTGGAAAGTTTGACTAATTCTTCTTTCATTAGTGTTCCAGTGGAACACTTTAATTAAATGCATTTTTCCCAAGAATTGTTGTTATTAGGGCTCAATTTACCATTTAAGACAAACACTCCTTTTTATACCTGGGAGGCAGGGTGAATCATATTTATTATTTAAGTGGAATGTTTGTAATATCATGCCATGGAAAGAAGTGGATGAATTGTGCTGTCTTACAAAACTTTTCATCCTTGTGAGAAAGTAAGAGAGGCAGCTGCAGGTCACACATTTTGGAGTTAAATTAGTTGTTGTTAGATGCTACGAAAATATTAATTAAGATAGACCTGCTTCAAAAAGGACAGAGTCAAGGCCTTTTCTGCTTCTCACACCACCCCACTAGTGAGGAGCCTGGAAGTGTACAAGGAATTGGGAGGCGACACAGCTGGGACAGCTGATCCCTACTGACTACAGGATATCCCAGGGCATATGGCATCACACTCAGCAATGAAAACTTTGGGGAAGAAGAAAGACGAAGGGAGGGATGTTCAGAGCGATGCCGTTTGTCTTCCCGAGTCACTCTTACGTGCAATGGAGACCTGCTTTCCTGGGGATGTCTGAACACTTGCATACCAATGGGAAGTAGTGAATCAATTCCTTGTTTTGCTTTGCTTGCATGAGCAGCTTTTGCTTTATCTGTTACCCTGTCCTTATCTCAACCCAGAGGTTTTCTTGCTTTACCTTTCTCATTCTCTCCCCCATCCCATGGGGGGTCAGTGAGCACCTGGCTGTGTGGTGCTGAGCTTCCAGCTGCAGCCAAACCACCACAGTATTGCATGTGGTTCACACAGCCAGTCCCTGTCTATAATGGCATAGGACACACTGGTGCCATGGCTGGCCTTACCTGGGTGTTTTTTACTGCTTCCAGAAGTCTGTTGCCTAATGTAAGAGCCTGCTTCACCAACACCTGAAGCTCTCTGGAGTGTCTTTCATGTTCTGTATACATATGGTTTTACTTTTAGGAAACTGTTATCAAAATATACTAAATAAGGCAAAGTGATTGTCTTGTGCTTCAGGACAATGTTAGTATGCATTAAGGCTGCAATTTTTCCAAGAGGATAACTACCAATACAGAGTCCTTGACTATTATTTACACAAATAAGATGTTACCAGGTGAAAACTTTTTCAGTTTCTAGTTTAAAATGCATGTCCTGTCATTTAAGTCCTATAACACTTTTCTTCATGGTTAAGAAAAATATGTTAAACCCCAGCATTTTTAGTACACTTTTCCTGCAGAAAGTAAACTATTTCTTTCCAAGGCCTGAGCTCATGGAAAAATAATCAGATCTCTTTGAAGTCATAGCTAGGACAAAATTTAGTATCATTAAGTCAATAATGTTAAAATTGCTTTCAATTTCCATCTTTTAAATGGCCTTTCATTCACAGTGTGCATATGCAAATTTTGACAGAGGTCTTCATCGTTAAATGAATCGTATGCTCTTGCACATGACAGCTTTTAAAATTACATTTCAGCTTTCTCAGTGTATCCTGAATCAGCCTACTAAACTGACTAGCGTCAAGTTTAGCTATTCTATTTTAAAACTGTCAAACATTATTAGCAAAGCAGAGAAGCAGTTCAAAAAGTAATTAATTCCAGGGCTTAGAGTAAACTGCTATTTTAATTAAAAGAACACTAAATACTAATGTCCTGATTCTTTGTACTTAGAACATGAAATAAAAAAAGTCTAAATTAATTGCATTTAATACATTTTAAATGCCAGCTGAAATATATTAAAGGCATATGTCTTGTTCCTGCTACTTATAAACTGTTTCAAAAGAAAAAAAAGTTAGAGCATATAGCATATTCGTTGGTTATGTTGCTCCTTTTTTTTATGGATTCTCTTTCAATTTGTGCTGAGTAGAAATATCAACTGGTACACAATAGGTCTGTTCACCATAATTACACTGCATAAGATGCCAGACCTCAGTTGTGCAGTTATGACAATTGCCACCTATAGGGCCACGGGAGGTGTAAGGTCCAAAACACTCCTCTCATTTGAAGCTTTGAAGTGCTTTCTATGCTTTGTAAATTTGCAGCTTCCAGCTTGTCCAAACTTAAGATTATACACAAGGGAGGTACTTTGCATGTGAAGAAACACTGTTCAGAGTACTGGAACAGGCTGTGCAGAGAGATTGTGGAGTTGTCTTCTCTGAAGATATCCAAATCCCAACTGGATGTGATCCTGTGCAATCTGCTCTAGGTGAACCTGCTTTAGCAGTGGGGTTAGACTAGATGATCTTCAGAGTCCCTTCCAACTGTAATCATTCTATGACTCTGTGAAACAGGTATTTTAGGCAGTTTGGTTTCTACTAAAATTTTACAATCTCACCTTTGGTGATTCAGTCTCCTCATGAAGTGTTTAAATTTTCAGCAGGTATGTCTGCAGTGTCCCACATGGCTGGTCTCAAACTAGCACTGATCCCCTCCCCAAACGGAAATCTTCAACAGGGTAATCACCATGGCCTGAAGCAGTTTGAGCTACAAGTCATCCATAAGAAACAGGTTTATCCTTTAGAACAGGAAGCCCTGTGTGCCACATGATTTTATCAACACTGCTTGGGGCTAGCTCAGGTATCTGTGTCCAGAGCTCCTGGCAGAATAACATAGTTCTGCCTTATTACTTATGCCTGTGATGCTTATCTCACCTCATAGTTGAACTGCAGTAATGCAATGTGTCACCGCAACATTTCCCATGTGGACAAAATTCCAGCTTGTTCAAGATTTAAAAGGAACATATCTCTGACAGAAACACAGACTAGGCTTGTCCTTCCCTCTTCATGGTATTTACTGTCCCCATAATTTCTAATTCAGTTGCTACTTTATGGCCAGGACTCAGGAAAACTCATCAATTCAAATTCTGCAGAGGAAGGCACAGAAAATGGGCTTAATCTTCTAGTTAAAAAGAAAAAATAAAATCAAAATTTTGTTGCAGACTGTATACCTAACCTGCAGGAGTGTCAGATAAAATTTAATTTTTTTGCAAGCTACACTACTGTCACGTGACATGTTAATATTGGCCCAGTATTACCAATATGAGCGCAAAGGTTTATCAAGTATTAAGGACTATCTCAAGTTTTACAGCATTTTTTATTTTAGAGTCCCTTTGCAGTTTCTTATACTTATCTAGGCTTTAATCACTTGTCTAGGGTTTTTTCTGCCAAGTATTTGATTCCATCTTCACACTTTGTAAAAATGTCAAGAATGGTTGAGCCATTTCTCAGTCAGATGTAAAGAAATAAAATCCTGCTAACTAATCCTCTGTGAATTTTTTTCACTGAAAAGCTTTGTAGAGACCTTACTTTAAATGGAAGAATATCATTGTAACTTAAATATTTGATACTTCATAGTATTAATAAAAGTATTAAAAGTCCATGCAAATTTGACCAAATTAGGAGACAGAAGCACGTTAGGTCTATCTTCCAGTCAGTAGAAAGAAAGGAGGAAGAAAATAGAGATACGAAAAGACTAATACATAACTGAAAGTATGCTTCTTCTAGATGGTGCTATTGCTTTGCTCTTGTGGGAAAAAAAATCTTTCAAGAAAAAAATTGATTGTCATAAATTTTTATATTATTGTTATACAAATTAGACATATTATTAGAATATAAAATAAGCTCACACATAGCATACCTAAATTCTAAATTTTTGTTATATTTATGTTTTCAGGTACTTTTTATGGTAATTTTCAATTTCTTGCATATTGTCATAACTAAATTACATTGCAACAACTAATACTATCATTTGATTTCATCTCTAAAATTTACACCAAAATGAGGCTTTTACCACAGAAAACTTTCCTTTTTCCATCGGCAGTATTGAAAGGCTTGAAAACCAGAAAATACTCCTAAAACTCTCTGGGATTTGCATGTACATATGACTACACAGCAGTCAGAATTGAAAAAGGTTTCCAAAGATCAAATACGAAATGGTATATATCAGAGAAATGTTCTGTATAAATGTATTTACATTTCTTAGCATTTATAAGACCCTGCTCCATTCCTAATGATCAGAATGTGTTCCTTTCTGTTCAGGTGTCTAATTTCTTTATATGGATGTAAGAATAAAGGCTTCAATGGAAATAAATTGAAGGATTCAGTAGCATAAGTGTTCAGAAAAGCTGTAGTTCAAAATCGCTTACCTAGCAAAAATGCCAGGAAGACAGCATTGATGTAATCTGTTCAAAACATTATATGGCTCCTTTACTGCAGTCTTTGAGCATCTCAAAGCTTTTATTGTATTTATTTTAAAATCTTCACAGAATCATAGGAAAGTAAAGCTGAGAGGGGCTTTAAGAGGTCATTGAGTTCTCTGGCACAAGGTAAGATGAACTATATCTTTGTCATTCCTGATGCATGTATAGTCAGTCCTTAAATTCTCTAGTGAAGGAGACAACACAGTCTCAGTGGGCGATTTCTTTCCATGCTTCATTAACCCTATTATTGCTAATATTCAACCTGATTCTTTCTGGGTGCAAATCCAAATCCACCATATACTGACAAAATGACATGGGTCAACTGAGCATGTTTAAGCAACACCAGACTTTGAGCTTACACTGCTCAGGGTGAAGTGATGCTGCTCAGTTGAAGCCTACTCCTCCATTAAGGGAACTAGATTTTTCACTTTAACATTATGATCGGTCTATTATTTGGCTCAGAGATCACAAAAGAAGAGTATAAAAAGAGAGATATCCCAAAACATAAGCTGCATGTTTAACATTCAGAGTTCCTCCCTCTAAATTACCTGCAGAGGAACAGTTTGCCAAATTATTGTCTATGCAAGCTTCTATGTGGGATACTTTGGGTGATTTCTTAGTGCTTTATGGAAAGCATTTTAATTAAGTTACAGCACTTATGGTGCTTGTGGTATAAGATATAATATGTCAACACATACCTGAGGCATTTGGGTTGCCAAGTATTCCTTTTTCATTTTCCTCTTGGCTGCCTAGTGCAGCACGAAACAATGTTCCTCACTATTGCTCACCTTGCCTGGTTTGGTTGCTGCTTCTAGTCAGGACTTGGCTCTCATTACCCACTTCTGCATAAAGCTTTAATAAGCAAGAAAAAGTATAAATTGCAAAGTAAGCACAGAGGTCTTTATGCTTTAAGCACAGCATGTAATATTAAGGTACAGTCTAGCACAAGGGCCTATGATCATAACATGCTTGTTGGAAATCTAAAAAATTCTCAGATACTCCTTAAGTTTTCTAATAAGTTTTCTAATAAATCTCAGGAACAACCAGATGATGGCATTTGTGAAAATAGTAAAGCAATAGTAATCAGAAATCATACAAGTTTACTATCAAAATATTCAGAAACTTACCTGCCATACAGAAAAGAAGAAATTACAGGTGAGAACATTTCCAAGATAATTCAAAAGTTAATTTAATAATGCTCTGAGAGTTATAGTGTGTTGATCTTTTTGTATGATATCTCTTACAAAATGTATACTGTCCTTAACTGGTCTCTGAAATGCACTTTAAGAAATGGACCTAAATTCATCGCTAAGTTGTCTTTACCCTTTGAAAATAAATTATCTCAATTTTAAAAGTCTTATTGAACAGATTTAATTTCCACAGTAGGTCTGAACCAAATCAACATATCACTCATTTCATTTAATGAAATGCTGTATTTTCAAAAAAAATCCACCACAAGCCATATTCACATTCTGAGTCACAAGATGAAAATTTTAATAGAATTGGTGTTGGATTTCATACTGTTTTCAAAATAGAACTACATGATGTAGTCGAAAAGTGTTCATTTAGATTCCGTTGCTTCATAGGTTAATGAAAACCTGACAAGTCAGATATATAAGGCAGATAGAGAAAATTTATGTAGAATATGTGAGAAACCCAAAGTTTTACGAGAAAAAGAAGAAGATAAATTCTATTTATTGGTTTTCCTTACAGAGGAGGTGAGGATTTTCCCCCTCTGGAACTATTCTTTATGGGTGAGTTCAAAGTACTGCTTAAACTGGAGTTGGTGTTGGGAGCATAAGTAGTGACCATAGCAATGCTAGCTTGTGAAAGAAAGCTGGATAATGAACTGGATAACTATAGATCAGCCTGGGATCAACAGTGGGAAAAATCGTAGAAACAAGAGTTGACCTGAGGATAAATACTTCTTTTGTAGAGGAAAGACACGTCTGATACATCCACCAGAGTCCTCCAAGACAGTAATAAACTTGTGAGAAAATAAAAGGCAATTTGGTTAATAGTGTTCTTGCCTTGTCAGTATATTCTGTGCAAAGGTTCCTAGACAAACTAAGATGTCAGAAATGCCAGGCAAGATTTGCCCATGGTAAGAAACAAAATATGGAATTAGGGGTCAGTTTTCACAACTATAGGGACTTCTCAGAGGGAACTTTTGAATCTCTGTTGTTAAATATGTTCACAAATAAATCTGAAAATGATGTGATATAGCTTTTTAAGAACACAGAATCATGCAGAAAGGTCAAAGCTGAATGTGCAGTATTACAGAAGGACCTTATAATATTTGAATTAAGCCTCGAGAAACTGAAAGATAAAGTGGCAGATTAACTCAAATGAAATAACACAAGGTAATTAATTTTTTAAAAATCACCCAGTGACATACCCACAATAAAAGACTCTGCTTTATTATGATAAATGAAAGAGCTCTTGAAGCTTTTGTAGGTAGCTCCTTGAAATTATCAGATAGAATTTTCAGCTGTCAAAAAGACAAAATGAATGTTAGCCACCAGCAGGAACAGAAAAAAAATAAATAGGAACTTGGTTAGAATGCACATTCTTACATGCTGCCTGTAGTCCTGTTCATCTCATCTCAAAAAAACTTACATTAAAATAAAAAAATTATGGATCTCTGAGTGCATTCCTCCCATTGTGGGGTTCCATTTCCGAAGGCTTGAGGTGGATGGGGAAGGGGTTACTCCAGCTCCAGGGGTTTCTTCAGGGTCCTGGACGCACGGAGGGGTTAGGTGCTCCCCCTCTCCCCACCATGTAGTCCCATGGCAGCCAGAGAGACAGAACACGGTTAGGGGTTTATAAAGCTCTTGGGAGGGTCAAAAGGGACCATGTAAGGTAAGGGGTCTTACAAAACACCAATCAGGCAGGGAACAGCCAAATAAGGAAGGGGTTAACAAGAGACCAATGAGAAGACTTCTTGATATCTTCTCAGGACATTCCTGAGACAGAGATAAGAACTGGCTGTGGGGGATTTTGGGAAGAAGAAACATGAGTTAGCAGAGACCACAAAAAAGCCATTTTAAAACATGCTTAAACCACACTTTTCCCATATAATGCAGGTTTACTGCTACATGGATCAAAATATAGGAAGTGTGTTGAGACAAAATGAGTAGCTTCTATAGGTTTGGAGAGAGACTACTGACAGAAGATAAGATGGAGGGCCCACAGAATTATTAATGACATGAAATGGGTGAACTGGGAGATATGGAGTATAAGATTCCTATTTCTTTTTTTTTCTTTAAGCAGGTACTCTTAATGATTGTGAGAGACAGGACATTGTTTTAGGCAATGCATAATTGTTTTAAATTTTGTTATTAGCATGTGTTTCAGC